GTTTTTTTCTTTATAAAAAGATATAAAATAAAAAAATTAAAAAATCCAATTAACCGATATGATTGTATATGATTTTCTGAAATTAGAAAAAATTTTGTTGTAAATTTAAAAATTAAAAAAAAATTTTGGAACGTACTTGGTGTGCGTCATATTTTGCATTTCAATTTTTTTAAAGTCCTATTAAATAGATTTTACGAATTTAATTAAGAGTAAAATATTTTGCAACCGCGCACACCAAGTACGGTTCCAAAATTTTTTTTTTAATTTTTAAATTTACAACAAAATTTTTTCTAATTTTGGAAAATAATATATACAATCATATCGGTTACTTGGATTTTTTAATTTTTTTATTTTATATCTTTTTGTAAAGAAAACAAAATTTTTTTTTCTTAATAGTCTTATGAACGTGGACTTGGCGCGATTTTCTTACAGTGAAACTGTTTTTGTTCGGATTTTGAGATACAACAGTGTTAACCTTAAATGTAAGATTTTTTAATATTTTTTTAATATTTATCTTTTTGTTATCCTTGTCATATTGTTATTAACAATGTGTTTTCTTTTGTACAGTTTGCCTGATGAAGTTGTGAAATACAACGAAACGTTGCAACATTTAAAAAATTTGACACTGAGTTATTTTTTATAGTCCAAGTTCCTGATAATTTTCATTATTGTTTAAGTAACAACGTTTATAAATAAATAATTTATTTTATTAATATTTACCGATTTAATAATAATTTATTTTATGTAAGTTAATTCCCGGAATCTTTTCCTGCAATTTACATTCCTATTTAATTAAATAATTTGAGGTACTATTTATAATTAATTACTTAGTATTGCTGATTATAAATTATATATTAATCCTGACTGTAAGTATTTCGTGATTTATTTTCCATTCGCATTAATTCGGATCGTTAATTGATCGTCCGGCGCGGCCCCTGGCATTTTTATTATTATTTTGGTAATTTTTAAATAAAATTACCTGGCGTCTTTTTCGTGCACTAACCCATCCTGGGGAGTTTCAAGTTCATTTTATTATTATTCATTGAAAAAGGGCGAGCGTAAGAACTTTACCCGGCCGGTATCTCCGCCTCCGGTGAAAATTTATTAAAATTTTCGGGAACAGTTTTGTTACAAAAGAAAACCGAAAAAAGTGTTTTTTCGGAGTTACTCCGAAATTTCTAGTTTGACCAATTGAAACTTAGAAATTCTTTATAAGGCTTAAAAAACTGCGTAGAATGCCGCCTACCACGTAAAAATCGGTTCATTCATTCAAAAGTTATTGCGGTTTGAAAATTCAAAAAATAGTGTTCTATGAAACTTCTATCAGACTTTTGAGCTCAAAGAGCGCAAAAGCACAGAAAAGGTATCTTTTTGAGCTCAGAGAGCCCAAAATAACACACAAATCGTATTTTTGAGCTCGAAGAGCTCAAAAAAAACGGCCATGTATTAACGGAATTAGCGGGAAGTTGCAGAGATGGCCTTTAGGGTCAACCGTTTTCCTAATTTTTTTGTAGGGTTTTAATTCTACTGTTCAGATATTTGAGTATTCCATTATTTTTTTTCAAGATCGGAGCTGAATCGTTCATTGCTGATACGAGAGTTGATGTTAAGACGGTGATGTTGCTATCAATCTCAGGTATTGATAGATTTCGATCTGCCGGAATGTCTTGGGTGTAGTTGGTGTTGGCTATTTTCTCGAACTTCTTCCATTTAATCGCTCGGATGTTACGGCAAGGCTTTGGGATGTGGTCTTGTTGCGTATGGCTTGGTAGGACTATTGTAAAGAGCAGGGCTCTATGGTCACTGTCATAGTCTGCTGTGTTAATTTTTCCATTAGATGTGAGATTGGTGATTATCAGATCCGTGATACAGACATCTAGAAAGGTCTTAGCCGGAGTGAACGAAGCTTCTTCCGTAGAGTAGATTTTAGCGCGGTATTTTGCCAGGGTGTCTTTTTCCCAGTTACGTAGGAATTTCCCTCTCTGATTATCATCTGAATCACTCCATTCTATTCTGCGGGCGTTTAGGTCGCCAGCTAGGATGAATGAGTTATTCGGGTTGTTTAGATCAAGGCGTTGTAGTAGGTCGTTAAGCTCGTGGATAAAAATTCTTTTGTTTGAGTTGGTTGTATAGCAGCTGATGATGAAAATGTTTGTAGTTGGTGAAGTTTCTGTTAGTAGTTGTACTATAGTAAATTCCAGTAATTCATTCTTATTAGAACTTGGGTATCTGATGATTCTGTGGCTAATATTATTTTTAATTATTATCGCTGTTCCACCACCTTGTTTGGAGGGGGCGATCAGTCCGAATTATGCTGTATGTATTTGATAAGAGGTAATGCTTGCTAGTCAATTTTGTTTCGGATAATAAGACAATGTCTGGCTTATATTCTTCGACTCTGGAGTGTAGTTCGAATCTTCTGACGTTGTGTTATAGTGAATTAGTATTTATGGCCATGATTTTGATCGCCGTTGATTGACCAATAGGTCTACTGGTTTCTGGATATTGGTAGTCATTATTTGGCTTAATATTCATGGTGGAGATTAAGGAAGCCAAATATGAAATCAATTTTTCTGGTGTTACTTTGAATTGAATGGTTGATGGTGACACTCATTTCTCTAACATTTGTTAGGGAGCAAATTTCATTTTTAATTTGCGCTAACCAGTCTGGCTGGGCGTTTTCTCCTATGGGCGGAGAAGTTTGCCAAGGAGATGGTTGTGATCTTTGTATAATTCCATTAGCTTGATTCCTGGAAGGTAGAGGAGGGAATGCATCTTTTTGCTGGGCAGCAGTATTTGAGAATTGTCTAGGTGGGAAGTAATTGCCGGTTACTTGGTCAATCTTCTTAGCAAGCGATTTATTTCTGCTTTGGAGCTCAGCTTTTTTACTAAGGTGTGCAAATTTGATATATTTGCATCCGGTATAATTTGCTGGATGACCAGGTTTACCATAATTTGCACATTTAAAATTTTCTCTTGATGTCGCTGTGTTGAGTAGACATTTGCCTGGTTCGTGTGTTTCCCCACATTTAACACATCTAAAGAGCATCTCGCAGTTCGCTGCCGTATGTCCAATTCTCTGGCATCTTCTACATTGAAGAAGCTTGTTTCTCCGCAGTCGTTCCCATCTTGTCTTCATGTGTAATACATTTTTTATTTTGAAGAGTTCCTTCAAGCTACTTCTCTGAGTAATTTACACTATTAAATGTCTTCTTTCCTGGTTATCATGTACGAATTTAAGCTCGGTGACTTTTTTAATTTCAACTGAGGGAATATTTCTACTAAGTAAGTCTTCTAGTGCTTGCTCTGTAGTATATTCCTCACTTACACCTTTTAAGAGTATGGACTTTAGCTTTTCACCTTTTGGAGTGAATGAATAAAATTGTATCTGGTTGCTTTTCAGCGCTAACTTGACTTTGTCATAATCAATTTGTTTCATAACCTGGATGGAGTGTAGTACCTTAGAAATGGAGACTGAGAAGGAGTCTTGAGGTAGTCCTGCATTTTTTAAGGTTTTGATTGAATCGCTTACTTTCTCTCCAGTTACAAAGATTAGAAGTGGTCTAAAAGTTTTCAAATTTTCAGGATCAATTGTCTGCGAAGAAGTTCCTGCTTGTTGGAATTCCTGTGTATTTTGTTGACTATGTGTATATGTCATAGGTAGTTTTCCAATTACGAGAGCACAATGCGACTCATTGCCGCACGGTGCCGCATTAGCACAATTATATATATTTATATATAAATTGGTTATATATGATTATATATGAAAAATGGCCAAATATAATCATATATAATTTTACGGTTATCACACCAGCGGTCATCCATCCAACTATTAACCCTGCTCAATGCTGCTTAACTTTGGTGATCTCCGTGCGTCTTGAAGTTTCTGTCTGCTATGCTGCTGTCTTAGATGATGTTGGTAGTTTTCCAATTACGAGAGCACAATGGGACTCATTGCCGCACGGTGCCGCATTAGCACAAGTTTAATTGAAACAGATTAGTTAAGAAATGCAGCAGTAGATCGCGTTGGTATTGCTTCGTTTTGAACAAAAATTCGAAAGTTTGGCAATCTAAAAATCTAAATATTTGTTTACCTGTATATTTAAATCTTTAAAATCTTTGAAAACATTCATGTTAAACAGCTAATTCAAAATTATATCATGACAATGCTTACAAATATATAAAAATCTAAAAAATGATTTCATTTTATAAAGATAAAGAATAGAAAGAATATAAATTCGCTTAAGTTAGTCATCAATAATTAAATATTAGATATAAAAATATGATAGTTAAATATAATTTGTGTTATTGTATATATTTAATTTTATTGCAATAATAATTATTTATCAACAATAATAAAATACACTTACAATTGTCAAAAATAATAACTTTGATAGATAATAAGATAAACATTAATTATACCAACTCAATACAAAAAAAAATACTTTTAATTTTATGTAGACTCGTTGGTAACTCTCACGCATAACATCCCTGAGCAAAGGTTTTTTGAGTGTCCAACTGTGCGAAGCGTTGCTGTTATTGGAACACTCTAAGCTGCGCACAATGCCGCATTATGCGCTCTAGTGCTGTAGTTGGAAAACTACCATAGTTTCAACTTGGTCTGACTCCATGATGTTGTTGTTGTCATTTGGAGTAGCAGTTTCGAGTTGTTAAGGTGTTCAAACTGGTTGGAGGTGTTAAGTGGCGCCTCTGGTGTGTTTTCGATGGATTTACCTTTGGTAGTTTTACGTGGTTGTGTAAAACCTTCTTTATCGACACTGGGCAACGAGTTTCGACGTGAATTTGTCAGTGCAGATCTAATATTTGTATTATTATTTTTTTTTGCTGTGTCTTGTTCTTTTTCCCATTTTTTAAAGGCAAGGTCTAGAGTAAGCGAATTCTTTTTTAAGTAAATCGTTGTCATTCGCAGGCTTTTTTTGTCGAAAGTTGATGGAGGCTCCGCTGTTGCTTTTCGTTTTAGGCTGTGATTGGCCGCCATCTTTGCAGATGAGACAGCTTTCCACAGAAGCAGACAGTCGGCTTTATTTTGCCGAGATTTTTAGCGTTGTTTTTGTACACTTACAACAAACTAACACTTGCAACTTTTTATTTGTGAATTAACAATCAGTATTAACTCTCACAGTGAATTTTATATTGCACTGAGTACTATAAAAAAATTATATTAACATGCTACAGGCAAGTACACGATGCGCATCCAACGGCAGACATGTTGAGACTAGACTGACGCGCTACCTTTTTACCTACGAGACTTACTTGTAGAGCAGAGTTTGAAATAACTACTTTTATTTATTTAATTTCATCTACTTTTATTTAATTAATTTCAACTACTTTTATTTAATTAATTTCAACTTTTTTTTATTGTTTTGACATTATCTCAAAGTCATCCTTAACGCATGGAAAATCAAAAAAAAGTTGAAATTAATTTATTACTCAATATTTTCACGTGATGAATTCAAGTTTCAATCCTCAAAATTACAATACTATGTATCTGCATAACTTTACCTTATTTAAAACTTGCCAAAAAAGAAAAAGAATTTTTTTGTGAAATTCAAAAATTGATATTTTTGAAAAAAAAATACCCTTCTAAAAATTTCAGAATTTTTAAAATGATCACTATGCATTTTACACAAAAAATTGAGCTAAAATTTTAACGTCGATCGTCATTTTTAACGATTTTCAAAAATTCAAAATTTGACAAATTTGGCATTTTTGAAAATTTTTTTCTAAAATATTTTTTATTCAATAACCCTAAGTGTCTCCTTTTAAACAAAAAAAAGGCCATTCCTATATCTACAATAGCGTTCGAGATATTACAAAAAAAAAATTGATAAACTGAAAAAATTGCAAAATTTTGAATTTGCATATCTTTTGAAAAAAATTTTTTTACTGTTTTTCGTTTGGCAGAACTTCGTTTTATGATAAACGAAAACTTCTGATGAAAATTTGTCCAAATCGAGAGAGATCGATTCCAACTATTTGTCGATCTGACATAAAATGATTGCCAACTATTTCTTTAAATTTCGAAATTCAGTCATTTTTAAGTGGCTGTAACTAGTCTTTTTGTAGAGATAATCATACTTTGTCTTAGAGTTTTGTAAAGCCCAAAGACTCTACTTTAAGAATATAGAATCGTTTTTTGTAAAAAATTGCGTAAATTATGTGTAAATTCAATTTAAAACAAAAAAGAATTTTTCCCATGTTAATTAAAAGGGAAACTAAAATAAAAAAAGTGACCCCTTAGAGTTAAGCTATAGGGCTCGTGTTTGGTGAGGATTTTTTTTATATCAAATAGAAACATTTGAGAGGGTAAGAGTTAAAAAAAAACAAATTAAAAAGTTTTTTTGAATCACCCTAATAAGTATATATAATTATATATAAATTTTTTTACCCGGGAAATCGCAGACTTTATTTTATTTCACAAAACTGTATCGTAGCTGGCAGCGTAGGGGCCCCATCAACATCTGGAGCGGCTGGTGATGTACTTAAGGAACTCTATGACAGACTCTTTAGGCGCTCAAATCTTATGATCTATGGCCTACCAGAAGATGAATCCCGAGGCGCAGAGAATGGTAATTTAAATTTAAAAATCTCGGATTGTTTTTCGGCACTTTTAGCTAATCCAATCGCTGAAGCTAAGTGTAAATTCAAGTGTGTGCGTATGGGTAAAGTACTAGTAAATAGTACCAACCCACGTCCTGTTAAAATTATTTTCAATTGCCTTGACTCTGTTGATACTATCCTGCAAGAGTATATCCGATTAAGGACCAAGAAGAAGCTCCCACCATCACTCCAGCACCTGGTTATTGCAAGAGATCAGACTCCTACACAGAGGCAAGAATATCTGGCCTTGAAGGAAGAGGTGAAGAGGCGTACTACAGCAGGGGGAAAGGATCTACGGATAGTGACCAGAGGGACCCAACAGATTATTGTTCAACCTTAAATACAATAAACTAATTATTTTTTATAAATATTCATAACACTGAAGTTAGCCGTCGGCTGTCAATTTTAAAAATTTTTTTAACAAATCGATCACAATAAAAAAATGCTTCTAAAAATTTTCACTTTTAATTTTTATTAATTTTTACCTGTGGAACTTTTTGATCATATTTTTTTTATAATAATTTAACTGTTATAAAATAAGAAAAAAATTTTTTAATTTATCTGTCAACTTCAGTGTCATAAATATTTACCGTTAAAAATTAAAAAAAATTTCTATGTATTTTCATTACAAAATTCTATTTCCTAATTTACATTATTTAATTTGAAACTATGGGAAATCGTCAATAGTTTCACATTATTTGGTGTACGTGATAATAGATAGATTTATTAGAAAATTTGTTGACAACCATTTATTAACAAAACAAAACCGATTATGACGTTTTTATCTTATTATTCATTGATTAATAAAAATCAAAGTTATTTTGTGTATAAATAAAAACGTATTATACACTAATAAACGCGTATTAAATACTAATAAACGTTTATTAAATATTTATAAATACGCATTAAATACTAATAAAATCTCAAAACTGGTCCAAATAAAAATTTTATTTGTATTTAATAAATATTTTATTTGTGCATGAGCCAAATACTTGTTTTACTAAATACGAATAAGCGATTATTAGTATTTAATAAAACTGTCTCTCAGTAAAGTTAACAAGTATTCAATGACGAAAAATTACATTTACTTTGATATATTTGATCGTTTCTCCTAGTAAGATGGATTAAATTAAGGATATACTACACAAAAACAATTTTTTAAAAATAGTTGAGCTGCAATATATCTCGAACAAATCAGCTGACTTCGAAGCGATTTACAGCGATCGAAGCAGTGTTTTTAATTTTTACAAAATTTTAATTACAGAAAAATTAAATTAACAAAAACTTTTTAAGTATTTTATAAAAATAGTAATTTACAGGGAAAAAAGTGATCGGTGTGTCTACCGATTAGCGTTCGGTTGTCTCAACCGAAAAAAATCTTCTAGCAGTAAAAAATAATCTTAAAATATTCATAACTATATTTATATTTTGGTTGTTAAAATAGTTTTATGTTAATTAAGAAGTAAAGGGTAACGAGTATCTTCAACAAAGTACTCCTACAACAGCACTTAAAACATGAAGCATTAGCGAAAACTTGTTCGCTTACTCCATATTAAGCGTGAAAACTAAAGACAAATATAGAATGAAATGACTAAGCTAGTTTTAGTAGCTTTTCGTGAGCTCTACTAAAAAGTTCTTGTTATAGCCTGTGAAAAATTCAATCGATTACAATTAAATTGTATTAGCGTATGTCATTGACGTTCACATAAACGGATAAAATTAAACAGTAATGATAACTGTTTCGTACAATTATTATAAAAATGTTAACAAATAGTAGAGAGTAGTGTATGACACACGACTTGTTAGTGCCAGCGCACGACTTAGTAATGTGCAGACAGTAACCAGTAGTTTATATATAGCGCTCTCTACTGCCCAAGCATTTAAGCTTCATTTTTTTCCAAAAGACTACTGAGTACTGCACGAAATAATAGCAAGTGCATTAAAAAAAAAAATTAAGAAAACGGTTGACCCTGAAGGCCATCCCTGCAACTTCCCGCCAATTCTATACCTAAACACTCGAAATTGCACTTAAGACGT